ACCGGGGCACTCAATCACTTCAGTGCTAATTGAAACATATGAGAAATAGAAATGCTTTATTTTCAGAAGGTACAACGGATTCTCTTGCCTGACACATGATGACTATAAATGCATTCTGAAATGGTTTAAAAATGTGCTTTTATTTTGCATTTAATATATGTTAACCACACTACATGGTTACAAAACAAGGACATAAATCATGCGATGTAACTAAAAAGCCTCCTAGAATGATTAATTTGGACATCTTCACATCTTCACACACTTGTGTATACTAAAGTACACAATTGTGTATTGTAAAGTATTGTTATCTCTCCCTCTGCCTGTGGACATTTCATATTCTTGTAAAGTGTTGTAATGTCCAACATACTTGATAAATTCTATGATAAAATCTGATTCTGATACTGATTCTTTTCTGAAGAGAAAAGTCATCTGTCTAACCTAGATTGGCTTTAAGTATAACTTTTTCTTAAAGGGATGAATGCACCTTAAAAAATGGATTATGAATAGTTATTTAGGTCCATCTGTAAATCTCATGACTACCGTATTTCTTTGTCTTTGAATATACGATACTTCACTTAATGAATTGAAAAATAAGATTAAGAAGGTACCCATGTCCTGTCTCAGTTCAGAGAAGATGCTGCTTTTGTTAAGAAGCTGAATGAAACGCGAAAGATTCACGAGGATGCTTTGGTAGAGTTTAGTTTCTTTTCTTAGCCACTGCGAGCTAACGTGTCACCTGGTTGGATGATTTCCATCTGTACTGGAAACACATCTGCTGCAAACGGCTGCCTTCCCTTAGGTATTTTGACTCGACTGCTCAAAAGGGCTGAAATTATGAAGTTCTCGCCATTTGAGCCTGAGCCCCCCCCCCCCCTGGGAGTCCCTCCATAACAACAGCCCCCCCCGTGCACCTTGTTTTGCATTAAAATAACAGTGTCCATTCACTTAAAATAAGAAAGTGGTCACATTATTGCCGTACGCTTGATTGCTGAATTGTGTGCGCCACGATGAGCGTGCAGACCGTGGTAGAGAGTCACATTGTGCTGACGGCAACAACAAACATGCGGCGCACAAAACAAGCGAGGGGATTTGGGCGTAATTAACAGTGACAGACTCAGGTGTGCCCACAGAGGTGTCAGAAAAATGTAAAACCAGGTTTCCCCCCAAATGAGCGCAAAAAGCTGCAGACATTTGACAGTGAACTGACGTGCTCACTATATCTGCTCAAACTCCAGCCAAGCTGTTGGAGAAGATGTAGCCTTTTTTATACTTTGTAACAGAACTGGCCAATTAAAATGTTGATGAAATGCAGAAAGTAGGGATGGTGCTCCTCAGTTAAGGATATAGTCGGCTCAGTCCTGTGGAGTTTAAACTGTCACATAATATGCCCCCGCTCCATCCTACCAGCAGCTGTGCTAGGACGGGGACACCAAGCCATTTTCAACTAGATGTTGTCTCTGGCACAAGTGCTCATAGTAAATGTCAAGACCTTTCAGGGCCATAATAATGACACAGTTGAGAAAAAAACATAGGGCACCGTTTGTCCTGGATGGAGCTCCAGTGCAATCATGTAGAGCCAGACAGAATTTTCATCAACTGGTCTGTTGACATGAGGGAGTGATTTTAGATTTACAGGACTACCACACTTTCAAACTGCTGACAGGTCAATTCTTCACCTTTACAGAGATATGGGCCTCGGTGCTCGCCTTTCTATGTGGCTGGGGGCCTACTGTCAGACAGAATGACCCAAATGAGCTAGGATGATGGTCTTCATGTGTACCGTCTCACTCCAATTCTTTCACCTGGTGATGATTTCCTGCGTTCCAATAATGCCAAATGTAGCTTTTAAAGCATGATCAGTGTACCTTTTTGTTGTAGCTCTCATCCTATCACATATATTGGGACGAAAATAACGTCCGAAAGGCGTACATATCTTAAAAATCTCAATATTGTAGCAGCCAATGTGTAAAACTCAGTCTAGATTTACAGATCCTCCCTCTTGCAGTTGATTACAACTGCTTATCCATGTGGAAGAGGCTGACACCGATACTTTGTGTTTCCTGACAGCATGGGGGACTCTCTTTATCTGGCTGGCTTCCTCAAATTCCTAGCTTTCACTTACTGGGGAGAGTAACTCTTTTCTTCAATGGGATCCAAATGACGTGAAACCTGCTATGTGTAGAGATGGATGTGTAGCTCTTCCAAAACAATGTGCTCCCTGTGGAAGCTCATAGATTTATGTGAAAAAGAATGCAGCATACATTCAGAACTTAACTGTAGACGCTGCAGGACAAGAATAAAAGGGCCTTTGTTAGAGACTGAAAATGACTGAGCTTTTAAGCAATCACAAAAAGATGTAAAGGGTGACAATACACATGCAGGGCATTCCTTAGCTTCAAAGAGCTCAAATCTTTTAATTGATGTGGACCCACTGTCCGACGCCAATCAGGGCAGCGGTAATGCACTGCTCGGAATTAAAGAGGTGCGGGAAATGAACATGCGACAGCAGACGCACCTCTGGGGAACTACTCTATAATCCAGAGGCAGTGAAGCACTAATTGCGTGCTTCTGGGTTTGCCAGTTTTGGAGAATGCTCACATTTTTTAGCCAGTTCGGGGTCTTGACATTGCAGTAACTCAACAAACAGGGACTGTTTTCTGTGCCGAGTTTCTAAAAGAAATGCGTCATGGGAGGATGTCTGACTCTTAAGACCAGCAGGGGGAAAAGAAAATCCTTGTGGTGTAAGGGAATATCTCTACCAAGACAGAGTAGGCCTTCATCACTACTTTGGTGGATTTTCCAACTAGATACGATCCAACGAGGCAAGAAGATCTCTTTAATAGGTTTACAATCGCTCCTGGGTCAACAGGTGCAAGCTGGGAAAAGTTAAAACTTCAGCGCAGTGGCATTTAAGAGAGTGGGAAAGAGGGAAAAGGTTTTCCCAAACCATTTCCTAGATGCCATTTACTGAAGCAATGAACCACTAATAGCAAGTCTGACTTATTCAGGGGTGGGAGGAGACTTGTTTATTGAGCTGAATTACAGCTCAGGGATAATCTTTGGTCTAATAAACCACTGGGATTCAGGCAAAGCTTCAGCCACGGATCACAGCCAAACCAGATTATTGACGGGAATCATACGCCCTCAATGAAGAAACAGCCAGAGGTGTAAGTCTCATTTTAGGGAAGTCTCTTAAGGACATGGTAGGTAACAGGGGGAAATGTAATGTGTACTCCTTAGCCGTTGCCAAAAACCACCTACACATTTAAGTCACACTCAATACTCAGGTATCTGTGGAGCCAAATCCAGGCCAAAGGTTTTGACCATTTTAAAAACAAATGTGAACGTGCAGATTTTTGTATTTCCAAATTCTTATATTTTCAAGTTTCAGATATTTCTTCATCTGAAAGTGGAAAATTTTGAAATTTGAATCTGAAAATATAAAATCTGCAACCGAAAAATACAATACTGCCATTATAAAAATATATAGATGGGAAGAACGAAGAAGGATATTGTATTTTAAAAAATAAATAAATAAAAAACTGAGTCAAAACTATATTCAACCCAAATGTTGTGTGTTTTTCAATGTTCAAGACTAAACTTTCAGGCTCACATTTGTTTTTCAAATGATCCAAACTTTTGGCCTTTTGACTCGTGATGACCTTACACTACAGAAACAATTCGGCTCTTCCTCAGTCAAGTAGGAGGCAACAATGACAAAAAGGCAAGCCGAGTGGAACTTTAGACGGTTTGCTGCTCTGTATTCAGGTCCTCGGCGAGCATCTCTCGATCAACACAGAATTCATATTGAAATGGGGCAGGCCGGCCCCCTCAGCCTCAGTGCCATCGCAACGGATATTTGATATCGGCAGGACAAGATATTATCACAGCCCTCCAAAGATTTGCATCACTCATTTCTGTGTTTTGAGAAGAGGTTCGAATTTTCGGAAAAAACAACATTGACAACATTTTTTCAATATAGCACGGAAAGAAAGCTGTGAGAGTGGTCACTTGGACGCTATAGAACAAACGTAGCATTAGTATTTAACTATTTGGACAAGGTTTGAAAATATATATATATATATTTAAAAATGTTGATATATATGAACTCGAATATGTTATAAAAAATAACCTCTTCAGAGCCTTGGTCCAAGCCACGCCCACTCCCACTTAATTTAGTCCTTAACGAGCAGCTACCCATCTACAGCTGGCATCGTAGCGTACGTGATGGGGGGAGGATGGGAGAGGATGGGAGAGAGTTCGCGTCACTGAATCACTCGATTCTGATAAACAGCGACCGACCACAAATGCCCTCTTGAGCCTCGTTTCTAAACTGCGACATCACATTATACATTTAGCCGAAGTGACAGCGTGGTACGCCTCGTGCGTGTTTTCAGCTCGTCATTTAGTCCCGATAGCATTTGAAACCGTGGGATATAGAACGACATAATGCCATCCCGTGATATATGCGATAGGCAGAGGTGGGCTAGTTTTTGGTTCCTCCGTGCAGCGTCGTCGTACCACCTTCGCGCTGCGACGAAATCACACGACCCCCCACATGTTAAGTGAAGCGCGTCGTCACCTTTAACAGCGAGCGTTGACGAAGGGAAAGTGCGTTCGAAAACTTTACCGGAACCAACCGTTAACGCTTGTCGCAAGAGCGGCGTCCTGTGTAGCTGCCGCTGCTGTGTCCGCCCCCCACACTCCCACCAACCTCCACCCCCCCCCGCCAGGCGCAAACAGGGACGGGACGGAGGGAAAACGGGCTATTGTGTACGTTCTGTTCGAGGCCCCGTGTAAAAGTTGCTAACGGTTTTAAACCGAATGGCGGCGTCGATAAGTGTGTGAGGTCACGCGTTTCGGAGAAGTCCCGGCAGCGAGGGGGTGTGTGTGTGTGTGTGTGTGTGTGTGTGTGTGTGTGTGTGTGTGTGTGTGTGTGTGTGTGTGTGTTTGAGCGGGAGAAAGTGAAGTTGCGTTAGCTTATTATTATTTTTTTTTACCTCAGAAGCGCCGTGTCGCCCTGTCTGCTGACCACACTTTCAACCGGGGAATAGTCCACAGTTTGTCCAGCGGGCAAACATGACGGCAGAACGCAGCACAGGCTGAGAATGATGGCAGTAAGCCACTGACCAGAGACACAAGCATCCTGCACCGCAATCATTATGTCCATCGCTGATGTGTTTCCCGGTGGCGCTTTTCCCCAAGTCTTCCTTTTTTGGGGGGATTAAAAATAAAAATTTAGAAAAAGACGAAAGAGTTAGCTTTAAAAAAAAAAGCCTAACGCGAACGACGCTTTATTTCCACACTTTTCCTCCTTCGGAGCTCCGTGAAGAAACGGTCCGCCGCTGAGTTTCCCGGGTTTGTTTTGCTGAACGCGGAGCCCTCTGTGCGGGGAAGTGTGCTCTCCAGTGGCGCGCACACCATCTAGTGAGGAAATGCGATGTAAAATGGGAGCAGACCTAGAAGCAGACAACCCCCAGGCTCTGATCCTGTTGCCATGCGGCCGTTTCCCGGGCAACCCGTTCCCAGTGGCTCGTGATGGAGCAGTAAAATTGGTAGGTATTGATACGGCCCGGGAACAATTAAAGATATCGACGGGAGAAACACCCGATGTGAGGAAATGAACAATCCGAGCATTTGGTGAAAGCGTCCTCGTGCTGACGCAGGTGTATCCTATAGGAAAAGTCCCCCTAATAAATAAAAACATACATTCATATAATGATATTATAAGGTGCAATTTTATGCATAATAATTTTTCCTACGAGTATAATGTCTCATTTTATGTGACTCCCCCCCCCCCTCCAAAACAAATACAATTAAGACATTCTATATCCCTGTTGGGATATTTAAGAATATTACAATGCTATATCATGATGCCAGAAACACGGCAACAATCTGCTCACACTCACACACAGTCATCACAAAGAGAGAGAGAGACACACATGGGACAAACAAAGTTAGTTTTAGTGCCGTAGTTGTCTGCATTATGCTGCTCTAAGCCTTTTGACTTAGCCTACATAATACTTAACAGACTGTACAGCCGTAACCATGGAAATGACACACATTTCTCTGACGTGACATGTTGGCGTCGCGCCTCAATTTCGTGCAGACGGGTTTATTGTTATTGGTATGAACATAATATTAACTAAATGTCCTTATGGGTGTTTCATAAAAGAAGAAACGCAAATCAAGCAAACAGCTTATATCATTCCTAGCATGTGCTTTAAATTGAATGAGATTAAGACTTTACTAATTTACTACACAAAATGAACTGTGGGCTTATTGTAAATTGGTGCTGTAACCGCTTTACAAATAGCATCTTCCGATGCAGCAATTCTGTGATGTTTTTTCAGCTCGTTCATTTGTTGTTTTGTTGTCAATATCATATTCCAGGTTAAATGTTGGCTTTTATTTTCCTCCGCATTCTATATAATACTCTTACTTTATTAAGCGTTTCCTTTTTTTTTTAAATACATTTTCTCCAAGAAAGTCAATATAGTTTCATGATACGTTATCTTAACTTCTTATCTGACAGACTACAGATGCACGATTGCTGTTTGTGATGTTATCAAGATGTGCTGTCTGGAGCTGCTCCATTGAAATTAGATGGGGTGAGTGGATCTGAACTTCTGAACGTTTTGCTTCAGTTTTTACACTGAAACTAGAATATTGCCTCGCCTTTAAAACCTGAAAATGAATCCTGATCCTCCATAAATTCATTCTGTGTGCCTGGAGCGTTGCATTTTTTTTCCATCTTTGGTTATTCTTCATCCGGGGAGATAAATTGTTTATCGCAGTGGTATGTGAGAGTGGGAGTTTGGACACATTTCTCTGTGAAGGCCTGGTTGTGACAGAGAGCCAAGGAGCTTGTTTCCAGAGGTTACAAGGGACGTTTCGCTGTGTTGGAAATGAGTCAACAACCAATGCTCCATGACAAGCAGCATTGAGCAACAGGGGGAGTGAAAAGTTCATCTTATTATCACACACACAATTCCAATTTGAATAGCTGAAGCTCCCTCTACTGTTAATAGCTGTGATAATGCCATCAATAACAACCCTTTAACTCTAGTTTTGAAATAGAGGCAGTTTGGGCTGGACCGGTAAGACAATTTGCATCTTTCTCTTGTCAGTCACAAAATGGGCTTTTTTTTCTTCTTTTTTTTTTATTGCCGAGCCTTTCAAGTTACCTCAGAAAATGAACCTTCCCATGCATGAAAGCTATAATTACAATAACTCCATTTTGTGTTAGTGCACTGTGCAGAGGGGAGAGAAGACTGGCAGCCTCTAATATTCAACTCATAATATCCTCAGGAATTATGAACAAGATGAAAGAGATCAGGCACCGGACTATCACAACGTCTCAGCCGTTCTGAGTAATGGATACCTCAGACATTTCCTCACAGTTTTCATAAGCAACAGTCTTTTCAAAGCCAGTGTGAAATCAATGCATGCAATTTGCCTTAATACGGAGTGAATGAAGTGACACCGAAAGAAATTGGCTATTTTTCTCAGGATGACAATTTTCACAAGTTTATACTACTTCACGTTGTTATCAGCGTCTTTAAAAGCGAGCCATGAACCCCGAGAACAATGGCCCAGTTTGCGCGTTTGGATGTGGTTATTGAGATGGTCTGCAGCATTAAAAAAGTGGTTATTGTCTTACTTATATGCTAATGATGTGGCAAAAAAAACGTTACTTTGACTGTTCTGAGTGAATGATTAGCTCGAACCAAAAAGTATCAGCACAAATTATTTTTTGCTCATTTTCCTGTCTTATTGCATGTTGTCATACTGTTTCATTTAGGTATGTTTGGTGTTTCCAAGACTCATTTATTAACCTGATTGATGGAGCACGATGAAAGCTATTGTTTCCTAAAGTTGATAAGTGCATGGTCATTTTTCTGTTATAGGGATTTGGTTGGCAATTATGATAATGAATGACATCCTGCAGGGGAATGTGCCAATCGATCACAACACCCACCTTTGAATGCCGAGCAGTTTTATTAAATGCCCTCCTGCAGCCTTGCTGTGTGGGACAGAAGAAAGATCCAAGAGTAAGAAATGTAAGGATAACCGTAGTGGCTGGTGGGATATTTATTTGTTGACAAGCAGTTCGAGTGTGTAGGTGGATAACTTCTAATAGAATAATATCAACAATGAATTGATCTTTGAGACCATCTAGGGCTTAGATGGTCTCAAAGATTCTAATTTAAATTCATTAAATTAAATTAATAGATTCTAGGCTCTGACACAGCTTCAAAAAGAGGCCGACCTGACTTTCTTGGTAACACAAAATAAGGAAACCTTGATGCCTTTGCTTTTGTGTTGAGTTCTTCACATAAAGAAATCCATTATGGTATGAATCAGCAAACGCAGATTGTTGGGCTAGAAAGTAATGTATTATACTTCAGTATCTTACTGAATACACCACATAGAGGTCGTGAACAAAACCCATTTTGAATGAACTGTGGCGTTTGATACATGTACCCCTGCAGCAGTGATTTATTTTTGAGCCGCTCCTTTCTTTGCTCTTCCTGCACTGCCCACGTGGGACGAAACCTACAACACTCATGAGTCATGACTGATTTGTTTCGCTCAGACAGCATCTACCATACACCTCACACGAGGTGGAATACTTCAAAAAGCCTCTCAGTCATTAGATATTGCTGAAAACAGATCATTCACCCCCCCAAGAGTGGTGATCACCGTGAACCTTCTCCAGTATCTGGAGCGCAGCCTGATAAGTAAAATGAAAGCGGGGTGAAATGTTCAACTCGTCACAAAATATATAGAGAGTAGTCAAAGCAGAGACACTGAATACAGTGATACTGATACTGAAATCTTTATAGTGTGTAGTATAGTTTCTTGTTCATTTTCAATGCTTCATGTGGAACATCTGTCTGCAGCAGTTAGGGGCCCAGTTGGCTGGACGCACAGTGGTCCGTGGTGTGTATTCCCGTGGTGTATTAGTTATGCTCCAGGCTACTTAATAATGAGACGCTTGGAACAAACAGAGGGATGAGACCATCACAACACAGAGGTGACAATTGACCCTTTGCTCGGCCCACCCTCTCGCTGCCAATCCATCAGGCTGTCAGAGCTGCCACAGTGGATGTCACTAACCGCATCCACTGCCTGAATGTGATGTTCTTGTTGAACAAACAGTCAGGAGAGAAGCATACAGGGGGGTATAATATGCGTTGGAAGGACAAATCCAAGATGTCAAACTGCTTCAGCATACAGGCTGAAACGATAAAGATAGAAGATACAGGCTACACATCACAGCTTAAAAATGAACTACACATCCACTGGCAATCAAGATAGAAGACAATGCATTGATGGAACAACACGGTTTGCAGGTAGCTCTTTGTTCACTGTTGCTATCAGTAAAAAGCTAAAAGAAGCATGTTTATACATTCGCTGTACTCTGCTGATTTTAGTCCCACACATTTGCCTTTCTGCCAAGTTTAACAACTAAACGTATACTTGTGTAGGTCATGGAAATTTACATTAGAAAGCTGTATTAATGGGATGAAGATAATACACAGCAAAATACATGACATTGAATAAATAAAATACATCAGATGCTAAATCTACGCTATGATTGACAAGCTTTTGATTGGGGTCTATGGGGCAAAGGGTACATTTGTAGTTACACTTGTAATTGAATTAGTCTCAAAGGAACAAGAATGATTTAATAATGTTCAACTGTATGAGAGACATAAATCTAAAGATCTCCAGTGATCGATGGGGTTTAATTACGTACATTGATTAATAGGCAGTGAAATAAAATGGTTCTTCCATGTATTCGTTTCAAACAACCTTGAACAGCAGGTCCACCACGCGGATTGATTGTTCCAGGAATTCAGACTAAAGACTGAAGGGAAAGTCATCCCTTGTGTTTGAGGCCTTGTTTAAAGCTATGATAATGCAAATGTTGCCACTGGCATGCGCCGAGGAGAAAATAGAAAACTGAACTTCTTCTTAAAAATCAATCTGACCCTTTTTCCCCTGCTCCTTTATGTTCTAGTCACTAGATCATCCATGTCCTGTGGAGCACGTATTTTGCAGTGGGTTTATCACGCTTTACTTTGTTGCAAACAGCTGGCTGCTACAGCTGGAAAAAAGGTTTACGGGAGTGAAGGCTGATCCGAAATAGGCTGCAATTTGGTAAGACATTCATCACTGCAAGCGGTACTTTTCACATTACTGTAGTCCCTTATTTCATTGTTGCTGGAAAGATATTTATCAGCTAAACTTATTTTTGATCCACGGTGTACTGACTGACAGGTTGAGTCATCCTATATAATGAATTTAAATTTGTATATCCATGTAATCCTCATCTTTACTCTTCAGAAAACCAACATTTTGTTATTTTATTCATATTGTCTCACTGAATTTATTTTTCTTTGTTTGCGAAGCCGTCTAAACCATCTAAGAATCTCATTGTGTGGAAAAGAAAGTGTAACGCAGCCTTTCTGCTCCCAAGGTTTTGTGTCTTCTTCCTTTCTGCTCAAACAGCAGCCACAGGCGAAGCA